GTCCGGCTCGAAATAAGCAAGCAACTCGGAGCAATTCGAATATGTTTGAAGCGGCTGCATCCAATCAGGGACGCAAAATTTTCACGTGATACCTCGTGCCGGTGATGATGACACCGAATGACTTGGTTCTGGTTTGAAATCGATCGTTTTTTTGGAAATAAACTGTTTCAGAAAAGTGCATTAGTATTCTTAACGAGGTTTAAATGCATAAAAACACGTTTATAACGCATAATTCTGTCTAAATAGTACAAGAAAAATAAAATGTTATGATGACGATGGCAAATTGCAGCAATTGGTTGCTGCGTGTGATCGCGGGCGGCCCGTGTGGCTGGTTTTGCGACGTAAAGTTTCTGGGCGAAATTGCCCCATCTGAAGCTGGCCTGAGTGGCGTGAGGGCCATGAGTGCGTGAGGGGCGTGAGGGGTGTGAGGGCCGCATGGGCGGTGAGGGCCGCATGGGCGGTGAGGGGCGTGAGGGCGGTGAGTGGCGTGAGGGCCGTGAGGGCGGTGAGGGCGGTGAGGGCGGTGAGGGCGGTGAGGGCGGTGAGTGGCGTGAGGGCTGTGAGGGCTCTGAGTGCGTGAGGGCGGTGAGGGCCGTGAGGGCGGTGAGGACCGTGAGGGCGGTGAGGGCGGTGAGGGCCATGAGGGCGGTGAGTGGCGTGAGGGCTATGAGTGCGTGAGGGCCGTGAGGGCGGTGAGGGCCGTGAGGGCGGTGAGGGCGGTGAGGGCCGTGAGGGCGGTGAGTGGCGTGAGGGCGGTGAGTGTCGCGAGGGCCACGAGTGAGTGAGGGGCATGGCCGTGAGGGCGGTGAGGGCGTGAGGACCGTGAGGGCCGTGAGGTTCAGTGAGGGTGAGTGAAGGGCTGAAGGTGAGTGTGACTGTGAGGGTGAGGGTGAGTGAGTGGCTGAAGGTGAGTGTAGCTGTGAGGGTGAGGGTGAGTGAGCGGCTTAGGTGAGTGTGGCTGTGAGGGTGAGGGTGAGTGAGGGCGACCTAAAATGCCGACCTCTGGCTGGAACAGAGGCTACGATCGTTATAAAGTGAGCTCGAACCAGACTTGTGCCTATCTGAAATACTCTACTCAAGATACTGTATTTCAAATACTTTTTGAAGTATCTTGGTATCTTGCAAATACTTTTGATCCAGAGTATTTGATACTCTATCTTAATTACATTTCTGAGTATCTTGTAGTCATTATCTCAAATACATTTGACATTCCTCCATTTTTTTAGTTTTTCGGTATGAAGTGGCGTGGGCGTGGCACGAGCAAACGTTAACATTCTTTCGAGCAACCATAATCCCGGTCCTAGCTCCGATTAGCGACGGTGAAAACATCGCTTTTTTTTGCCGATTTTGATTCATATTTCAGCGCAAAGCTCGTACAATGAAGGTTTTCCCCTCACCTTCCCAAAGGCGCCTTTGTTGCCTAAAGTTTCCCCCCAAAAATCCTCAAACAAAAGAAGTGGTTTCACGGAAGTAAAGATTGCCACACTGAGACTCCACGCAGACCGGGAAACGACCTACGACAACAATGCAAACTTAAGCTTCAAAAAAAAAGTGAAAGCCGTTTACAACTCCCTGTAACGCCGAATTAGAGCGCAGCTCTTGAGGAGGAGGAGGGAAGGGCTGGGGGGGGGGTGAAGTGACCTGGGGGGTCACGTGACGATGCCGATGATGTCATTAGTGACGTCACTGATGACGTCATCAGTGACGTTCACGATGCGGACTCCGATGACGTCATCAGCGATGATGACGATGCGGATGTCGGTGACGTCACTGATGACGTCATCCGTGATGATGACAATGACGATGCGGATGCCGTTGACGTCATCAGTGACGTCACTGGTGACGTCATCAGTGACGATGACGATGCGGATGCCGGTGAGGTCATCAGTGACGTCACTGATGACCTCATCAGTGATGATGACGATGCGGATGCCGGTGACGTCGTCTGGGAGGTCAGGTGACCTCGGCGGGGGGGGGTCACGTTATCCTGGGGGTGGTCACGTGACCTCGGGGTGGGTCACGTGACCTCGAGGGGTGTCACGTGACTTTGGGGGTCACGTGACCTCGGGGATGTCACGTGACTTGCGAGGGTCACGTGACCTCAGGGGGTCACGTCTTGGGGTCACGTGACCCTGGGGAGGGGTCACGTGACCTTTGGGGAGGGGTCACGTCAGCTCTGGGGAGGGGTCACGTGACCTTGGGGGTCGCTGACCTTGGGGTGACCCTGGGGGTCATGTGACCTTGTGGGTCATGTGACCTTGGGGTGACCTTAATTACGCCGACGGCGACGCCAACGGCGACGCCGCTCAAGCCGGGAACGGGCCCCTAAGAGCTGCGCTCTAAAAAAAAATTAAAGCCGTATACAGCTCCCTGTAACACCGAATTGGAGCGCAGCTCTTGAGGAGGAGGAGGGAAGGGTACAGAGGGTTGCCTGTTCTCGGGGCGGGGGGGGGGGGGGGGGGTATGTGACCTTGGGGGGTCCCGTGACCCCCAGAAAAACTTTTCCGCTAGATTTAGCGGGGAATGTTTTCCGCTAGATTTAGCGGGGAAATTTTTCCAAACAAACATGCGACTTTCAGAACTCATCTGGGGTATCTGAACGGGGTTTCCTAGACCTTTTGGCCCTATATCTACAATCAACACTCGTCGAACATGGAAAGGAAATTCTCAGGCAAAAGAAAGGTGTCTGCATAGGCTCCTGCCTTGCCCCAGTCCTCAGCGAAATATTTCTAACGTATGTGGATAGGGAGATTGAAGCACGCCTTGAAGAGTTGTCACTTGTCTTCCATGTTTTTCGTTACGTGGATGATTATTTAGTCATTCACCCGAACTCAGTTTCTTCTGATTCTGTAGTTCAAGCCTTCACTTCTTCGTCCTCAGGCCTGAATTTTACAAGGGAAGACAGCTCAGGCGATGGTCTCCAGTATCTCGATCTTCGTCTGCATCTTCTTCCGACCGGCATTTGTTGGGCCTTCCAACAACGGTCTCGGAAACCTATTCTTCCATTCCGCAGTTCCCATTCTAAACTGGTAAAACATGGAATCATCCGGTCTCTCCTCTCATCTTCTCGCACCAAATCATGTTCTCACTTTGCAAGCTTCAGCATTGCAAAACAACAAGAACGTCTCCTCAGAGCAGGATATCCGCAAGGTCTACTGAGCACCATTCTTGTTCAGTTAATTCTAACCACCCAAAGGCCCCGTGCTCCACGTAGTAAGCCTTCACGCGTTATCTGCATTCCCTATGTGCACAACTCAGCGCACAGACTGAAGGCAATTGCAGCGCGCTTCAACGTTTCGGTTGTCTTCTCGTGCAAGTTGCGCCTGAAACAACTGTGCAGGCGCGTGAACAATAACGAATCCATCAAAAGATGTTCCATCAAACACGCTCATCAGACCGTTCTCTGTGAAGAGGGGGTGGTATACTCCATCCCTCTCTCCTGTGGCGACCGATATATTGGACAGACAGGTCGTTGCCTTAACACGCGCCTACGAGAGCACGTCCTCGAGGTCTCTCGTGCTTCGGATGACACTTTTCACCCAATAGTGGTTCATCAACGCCTCTGCACGACCTGTGAAGCCCGGTTCCAGGACACTTGCACGATTGGGAGACATAAGAACAAGCTCGGGAGAGAGATCATTGAGGCATACAAGATAGCCCATGACGATCACAACATCGCTGCCCCTTCTCTCGCCTTGTCCAGAAACGAGATCAACTACCTGAAACCAGAGCTGGATTAGCCAAAAGGGCGCTCTATCTCAATTTGTCAATAGTGTTTTTCTTTTCCTTTTTCTTTTTTCTTTCTTTCTGAATTCTTTATCTTTAGTGTATTGGGTGTAAATTTGTGTTTTTTTCCGGGTGTATATAAATATATTAATTCCGCATCTTCCTCTTTAGTCTCAAACGTTAGGAAGAAGATAGCACTATTGAAGGAGACACCAGTAAATGTGTGTTGCTAGTTGAAAGAACTGTGCTGTCTGTCCTTGTCCTTAAGTGTTTTTATTCTTTCTTTGACTCCCAAATTTTTCCGCTAGGTTTAACGGGAAAATTTTTCCGCTAGACAGCGGGGAATTTTTTCCGCTAAATCTAGCGGGGGAATTTTTCCTCTAGATTTAGTGCGGAATTTTTTCCGCTAGATTTAGCGGGGAATTTTTTCCGCTAAATCTAGCGGGGAAAGTTTTTCCGCTAGATTTAGCGGGGAAAATGTTTCGCTAGATTTAGCGGGGAAATTTTTCCGCTAGATTTAGCGGGGAAATTTTTCCGCTACATTTAGCGGGGGTAATTTTCCCGCTAAATTTAGCGGGGAAAGTTTTCCGATAAATTTAGCAGGGAAATTTACCAATAATGCACCGCGCGGTTAAGCCGACGCCGCTTAAGCCGAAAATGGGCGCCTAAGAGCTGCGCTCAAACAGCTTCGGTGAGTTTATACAGGACTTGAGTAAACTGAAGCATGATATTTAGACATACGCTTTGATTTGCTTAAAAAGCGACATTGGCACTCAGATTAAATAAAATCAAGTATGCAATTCAGTGGCGTCACAAGAAGGGGGGGGGGGGGGGGGGGGCGGACCGCCCTGGGTGCAGCGCTCAGGTGGGTGTCGTGGCGGGCCACGAGAGAGAGGGAAGTGGGGGGGGGGGGGGGGGGGGGTCGCGGATGGCTACCGCCCCGGGTGCCACTGATGCATGTTAGACGGGCAAAATCATATTGAATCGACATATTTTCATGCATTCCACAAAATTAAGATTCAAAGACAGGTCATTTGAAAGCATGCATGCATGATTTAGTAGATAAAAATATATATTGTTAAAGATGTACATGTTTGTAGTTTGAAATCAAAAAGAAATTAAATTGAATGTGGGACATCATTCGGAGTCATATAGTTTATGGCAGTGACGTGCGTTTCTCTTTCCACGCTCTTACAGTCTTCGCCATAACAGTGGGGCTGTGTGTCCTAATCGCCATAATACTGTTCCATCCAAGAAAAGGCGTACTGAGGGAAATGTTACGGTCCCGAGCAAGGATCGTGAAGACGAACACGGGCGACGTCCAGGCTGTCTCGCTCAAGGCCCTCAACACAACCGTGTACGGGTTCTTCGGCATCCCTTACGCGCGCCCACCCATAGGCGCGCTCCGATTCTCTGTCACCCAACGGGCGGCACCTTGGGAAGGGGTCCACAGCGAAACTTCAGGGGCCCGCTGCTTTCAAGACGCCCACCAGGAGTATTTCGGCATGACCAGCAGCAAGTCATACGAGGAAGACTGTCTGCTGATGGACGTCTACGTTCCGGCGTCCAGGATTTCCGGCAGACCCAAGGCGATTGTGGTTGTTCTTCACGGCGGCAGTTTTCAGACTGGCTCTAACCGAGATGGGCTCTACGACGGGAGGTTCCTGGCCGCCGCTGGGGACGTCATAGTGGCCGTGCCTAACTACAGGCTCAACGTGTTCGGCTTCTGGCGCTCGTACCAGGCGGACGCGCCTGGAAACCAGGGTCTTTGGGATCAGCTGTTTGCGATCCAGTGGATGAACGCCAACGCCAAAGCCTTTGGAGGCAGAAGTGGTTCGCTCACGATCCTGGGAATCGACAGTGGGGCCGTCAGCGCGGGACTGCATCTTTTGTCTCCTGTGAGTAGGCAGTACTTCAGCAGGGTCATCATGCAAGGAGGCAGCCCGTTCCGCGTCGGAGAGTTCCATCCTTTCGCCGAAGCCGAGGAGCGGCGGAGCCTCGTCAATTCCGTGTGCAAGAAATCTTTCTCCAACGATTCCGACGAGTTGCACGAAGAGCTAATAAACACCCTTGAGTGCCTGCGGAACGTGTCCGTAACGACGTTGCTCGACACACTCGGCGATTTCAACGGAGTCCAAGGCAGGATGTTCGGTCCTTCTTACAGCCAGAACACCACGGACGACCCGTTCTCCATTCCCGAGATCCTCGATATTCGCGGCGAGCGCAGCGAAAACAGCGGCACGTTGTCCAACAAGGACCTCCTCATCGGCTACAGCGTGAACGAGGGAGAGTATTTCCTGAATCGCTTCTTTCAGGGCTGGTCACTCACGTCAGCGAGCCACTTCCCGCGTTCTTTCATACAAATATTCCTGGACAGACTCGTCTTGCACTACTTCTCCATGCCCCGTCTCAACGAGGTGCGGAAGTTCTACTTTGACCGAAACTCTTCCAATGTGGACGCGTACCTCCAGGCGACTGCCTTCCTGGGCGACGTGAACGTCCTGTGCCCTGCTAAGCTGATGGCCGATCACGTGTCCCGCATGGGAGGCAACGTGTACATGTACGAGCTGAACTACAACATGAAAGCCCTGCTGACCGTCAGCGACACGCCTCCGACGTCCCAGAGCAGCGACTGGCTCGGAGCCACGCACTATGCGGACGCCATTTTGTCCATGGGCGCCCTGTTCGGAGGCGAGCGCCAGGGAAAAGCCAGTGACGCTCTCGACACGAGTCTGCGGCTGATGGGCAAGTGGGCTGCTTTCGCAAGATCTGGGTGAGCGCTCACCGTCAGTCCTTTACAATTAGGCTTCGTAACAAAAAGTGACAAACTGGCATGGCTTAAGTAAGATAAAAAAAAAGCGTCATTACAATATTGAAGGTTGGTATCGACCAATAGCGTAGCCAGAGATTTTTTTTCTTTTTTTTTTTTTTGAGGGGGGGGGGGTGCGGGGAGGATTTGGTCTTATTTCCGCGTGTGGTAGTCGACGTACTGTACAATTCACGGGTACGGATACCCCCCCCCCCCCCCCCCCCCCCCCCCCCCAACCACCCGGTTGGCTGGAACAATTCGGTAGTCATTCCATACTTGTCTTCTTTTACTAAAAAAAGAAGAAAGTAATATTTTCCGGGGGGGGGGGGGGGGGGGGGGGGTTACTTCACAAATACTGAATTCACAAGTTTCGAATTTTAACGTCAAAATCATATTTCTTTTTATTCTCCGAAATGGAAAAAAAAATATATGATTTTGACGTGTCAGTGCCCCTCCCCTTTACCACAGATTGAGGACCAGCAGATTCGCATCTCACAGTGCAACATACACATGGGAATAACTCGCATGTTACGGGAGCCGATATCGCGTGCACAGATCGCGGACGAAAGCGCGGGAACCCGCTATAAACTCGCTTGTCAGACGTGCCGGTACAGCAAATTGTGCGGTTGACGCGATTCCCGTCGGACATTGCGTGACGTCCGACGGAAATCGGGAGGTGGACGATGTTTGGGAATTTTTATGTTACAAATATTTAGCCAGAAAAACGGGATGGGCGATCTCTCGGGGGCGGGCGTTCTCTCGGAACTTTACGGTAGTATAAATAAACACATAAGCACGAACAACGCACTTTGTATAATCACACGAACTTGTTATTCACCTTCCAGCGAAAACTAGATTACCACGCATATTTACAGATGTCGATGCAACCACACACGGATGACGACAAAAATGTCATTCTATCCCCCCCCCCCCAAAAAAAAAAAAAAAAAAAAAAAGAAACGACTGCAATAGTTTACTCGCATCCCACATGACCAAGAAAGCCTGTAAATAAGTCGTTTCTCACCTGTCCATCGTATCCATATGTCCCACAATATCTGGCACGAAAACATATTTGAACACGAACTTTAAGTCTCTCTCTGTCGAGAGAGAGGTCTGTCGATAATCGATCAGTTTCATCCTTGGCTAGTTGCCACACATGTCACTCAAACCGTAGCAGGACTTGTTCCGCGAATCCACGTAAATGCCGTAGTATCAAGCGAACACGAAAAAAAAACAAAAAAACTACTTGAGACTGCGGTGACGACAAAAAATACGACGGGTAGGAGAACCACACAGACACACACACACACACGAGAGAGGCGGCAGCAGCTAAGTTGTTGACCTATATCTTGCTCGTGTGCACTCCCTGCGGCGATGACTGGATTTTTTCGGTTCCCTTCCCTTCTGAAAGTCTCAGCCCTCCTTTTTAGACAGTCAGCAGCTCACACACAACGTAAATTTACCAGAATCGGATCCCGTACAAGGGAAGAGAGCGTCGCAGCGGACCGGTTCATTCGAAAAGTGTGGGTAGCTGCGGTCCCGCGGTTACGGGGATAATCATAAATATAAAATTTGTACTTTCAACCTAAGTAGCGCGTTGTATATATATATATATATATATATATATATATATATATAAACCGAAAAAAAATACGGGTTCGGTTACGGTTCAGGTTCAGGTAAATTAATTTTGTTCCGGTTCAGTTCCGGTTCGATTAATTCGATCTGCGAACCGGTTCGGAAATTATAAATGACAATTGCAACATCAAAATAAATTACAAATAAAACATCCGAAATCAGCACATACGAAACGGGATACATCGTAGCGTTAGGCTCAGGGATTTCTACCAGGAATGGTTTCTTTACGTGCACTCAAAGGTTACCTTACCGACGTTTACGCATTCGGACTTCATCTAATTGGGTCCGACGCATTAGCTGTAAAGTCCGCGACCTCCTTACAAACCCACATACAAGTAGAACTCGCTAACTATCCCGCCACCTCGGCGTGTAAGCAATTGAAGGCACAGTGGGGAGAAAATGCAGCTTTCTTTATCTGAACTAGCCTTCGGTAACTCAAATTAGACCCTTAAAGAAGTTTTCATTAAACAAGATACGGAATATGAAAAACACTTCACCGAACGCAACGCCAGAAGGACGTAATAGGATAAATATTAAAATAGAAGAGTTCGCTGACTCACAAATATGTTAGCTTCTATAACCGGATGCATTATTATCAAACTCCCACAGCCTTTTCTTTTCTCATTCCGATGGAAGCAAGCTTCAAGAACTCGCGCGTTCTTGAAACGTGTTATGAAATGAGCACACAGCAGCATTTAGGATTTACGAGATTGTAGGAAAATGAAATCCCGTGACGCGATTTTTTTTTTTTTTTGCACATCCTTCTAATTTTTTTTCTTCCGTGCAAGCCGCGACCAGCGCAATACTGGTTCCTATGTCAAGATTCATGGATGCAGCGTTTATATTCCTAAGACTGAGTGGAGAAGAAAAATATGTAAGCGAGGTGTGTGTCAGTTGACGGCACTTAAAAAACAAATGGCATTGATAGCACATTCATTGTCAACAGCGCGTGGCCGAACCGTTTTGACATGAGCCGGTAACCGTTATTTTTTTTTTCCGGTTCAGTTCCGGTTCGGGTTCATCGCGATAACAATATAACGGTTCGGGTTCAAGTTCAGTTCCGGAAAAAATACCGGTTCGGTTCCGGTTTTCGGTTCGGTTCCGGTTCGACACCCTGATAAATTGTACAAGACTGCGCTTTTAAAACGTATATTAATGTCGGGTAAACGCTCACGAACACCACCATGCCACTCGATAAGAAACGTTTTTTTCACGTCGATGCCAGAAATTTTCTCACGTAGTTGCGCCACGGACTTCCTTCTCCGACATTGTGACGTAACCATTCGGAGCGCTACGGCCTTCTCTTTTAGGAGGTGTATACGTCACTCGGTGACGTATAACAGCCACTCCGTGACGTATAATACCAACTCTAAGGCGCGCAATTTAAAACGCACGAAATAGCCACAAACTAAAATCAGTCTCGTGCAATAAATATTGCTGTACTTTTTTTTTTCGCGGTAAAATTGTTTTGTGACATGTTTGTCCCAATTAGGCTGTTTAAAAATACTTATTTTTCTTTGAAGTTACTCTTTAAAGGGGTACTCCACAGGTCTTTTTAGCTACCTTAACTAACTACGGTATATTTTCTGACTCCCCGGCCTTTACCTTTTCCGGTATGCTAATCGCGAAATTCATAATAGTTATTGTGAAATCGACAAATGAAAATGATGCGGAAACCAACATTCAAATATACCCGTGCTTTTCACTGCCGTGACGTCAGTGGCAGGCAGACTTGCCAGTCGAGCAAGCAGTCTAAAGAATAGAATATGCCAATCATTTGTTCCGTGCTGGAGCGCGGGTACTGGAGCGAGCTTCCAAAGCATTCATTTGCCACCATGAAACTGCTTCGAATCAGTTGGGAACAAATTCTACAGTCCAAAGAGTGAACCCATGCCTTCCACAGACGTAACTTTTTCGTTGTTGCCAGTAGAGACTTTCAGTTTGAAAAACACGGTGATGACCAAAACTGTAAATTCAATAACTTCGCGAAAAAAAACAAAAAAAAAACACGATATTTTGACCTAATATTTGGGATACTATTTTAGCGATGTTTGTTGGTGAGTTTAGCAAAATTTTAAGCAAAACCCTTTAACGGCCGCTACAAGTGCCTCCGCTGTCAAGAGAATAGCACGTCGTCTGCTACACGATGTAGCGACATCGGCAACGTCGATCAGCTTCAGGCGCGAAGCTCGGCGCCGATCGAGCGGAACGACATCGTCGCGAGGCGGCAAAAGTCACTACTTGGCACGAAACCGAGGAGGGGGACCTAGAGGTTTGTTCTTTCTGTCGTCGTAACCAAAAGGGTGACGGCAGGGCACGATTGTAACTTTGTCCCACGAGAGTCTGGCCAGTAGGCGTGGAGACGAAGCGCTGAAAGAGCAAAGGGGAAACTACGGCCATTTTGACGCAACACGTTTTCGGCGCCGAGTACTGTTGAGGCTACGCGTCGTCTGCTACGCGCTTATTTATTTTTCGCCAGAATAAAGATTTGCATTCAAATGTTTAGAATAACGAAATCTAATTTTCTTGCCAAAGCCTTCCGAATAAAAGGAAAGAACAGAAACTTGGATGTCGATCCCATGCGTTCCACCAGGCGAATGAATGAAAATGGCAGCTCTCCTTTGCTTCGTCTTTCTTCCGTCTTTCTCCACAAAGCGCGGGGTAAAGATTGGGCACGACTCGTGCCCAGTGTTTTTGCTTCGTCCACATTCGGACATTGATCACGTGCCCCAGCGGAAAGTGTCGACGCAGCGTTCGGATGGGGCCGAACGTTGCGATCAGCTTTCGGCCCGAGCGTCAGCGTAAAAACACAAACAAATGATCTATCTTGTCCCCAGAGCCGTATATGGTTGTCCCTAGAGTTCCTCAATTTAGCCACTAGGGGTTAAGACCGCGGAAAACATTTAAACAAAAAGCTCTAAAATTGGTACAGCTTGTTTTTTTTTTTTGTTTTTTTTGTTTAATTCATATAATTTCATCGATAGAATTGTATAAATTTTAAAAATATTGCCTTTCTGTTTGTTAGATTTTCTTAAGTACCCGGTTAATTAAGTTTTTAATATTTATATGTACATAGTTCGCCTCGATGATTTCAGCCGTACTGACTTTATTAATGAGAAAACATTAACTGTCTCATTGAGAGAAAACGGCGTAGCGGCACCCACAAGCGGAATTCCCATTGGCTGCCACGTGTCATATCAGATGCTTCGTCACGGTAGCCGGCGGGGCGCTCGAAGTCAGAGCGGACGGAAAACACAAAGAAAAGCACAGCAACGCGGACGCTTGGTCACGGAAGCCGCGGAGCCGGCGGGGTAGGGGAGCGCGATGTCG